GCCACACTGTCAGCGTGTTCATCGTTGTCATTTTGGTGACCAGAATATACTACTGACTCTCCAGTCAACAGTTTGGAGAGTACGCTTCAAATTTATCTGTTATGAAATATTCCGAACACTCTTATACCATATCTACTTACTTCTTGTACAGTCTGTGCAGCCTTGGTAGCCTCAGAAATAATGTGCACATAACATATCCTCACGCTTATTTTTGCTTTCACTGAAAGATTACATATCGGCCGACAGTCTTCTCTAATTTTTTCACCCACGAGAACCAATCATTCCTGAATTGAGGAGTCTTCTCAGTTTTAGTTGAGAAATAGTTTATTTTTCTTGACTTTGAAGTCTTAGTTTCAGTAGGGTTATTGATCACTAGATGGGGTCGCTAGCTGCCACCCCAAGTTTCTCTATTTCTGGATCTCTTGCTTGCTAGTTAACTAGGCGAGTTTATGTTAAAACTTACATTTAATTCACACTATGTTATCAATGGCAAATCTGCCGTGTTGTAAGAAGATGTTTATATGCTCTCGATTTTCAACCATATAATGAAATAACAGTTAGCAATATATAACTGAGGTAAAGTTATTTCTCTCTCATTTCGTTTATTGTCAGCTGCAGCAATGCAGAAAGTGTGAAATAAGATTCGAAAGTCTAAACTTTGACATTTTGATCATATTTTGCTTTTGTTCACTTAGGGTATATGGCTAAAATCGCAATTACAATGAAGTGTAGTTTTTTGATTGTCATAACTTGCTTCGAAAACATAGGATGCTAAATATGACTCTGTGTGGTTATTAGTCAAATGTGTTATGTGTCTGTCAAGCTTGACTTTTAAGGCATTGCTCATTGTCAATTTCTTATTATTTCAGGAATTTCCAAAGACACTGCAAATGAAAGTACTGGAGACTGATAGGTGATTTCACGCTTGGAATCATGTGGGAAAACAGATAGACCGCATGTGTTTCAGGATGATCAGAAGAAATCGTGAAACAGTATTCTCAGCTTATGCAGTTGTCCAACTCTTCTCCAAAATAGTAAAATATTTTTAATTATGAACATATGGTCTTAATTCTTTTTGGAGATATACCCTAATATTGTGATCAACGTAAAGGTAGATGTTTCTATAGTCTCGTATTCCTGGCCTCATCATGGTACTTCAATAAAAGCATATGAATGGAATTAAAATACTTTCATTTATCATTTTAGCGATATTAACGATAATAAGAATCAGATGAAGGTCTATACAGTATCATTTTAATTTTAAATAAAAATAGCGTCCTACCAACTCTGTGACGGAGCACTTCAAACAGTTTGGACTCGTTATGGATGCTGTCCCGTCCAGAAATACCAACAACAGCACGTACACAACTGCAAGTTGACACCAACCCTCCAACGAAAACTGAAGTCATGAATGCAATCAAGCTTCTGAAAGCTGGAAAAGCAGCTGGACCACATGGAATACCCCCGGAAGCACTGAAAGCGGACCCAGAAACGACAGCAGATATGCTGATTCCATTATTGCAAAAGGTCTGGAAGGAGGGAAAGGTGCCTACCAACTGGAGGAAAGGTTACCTAGTGAAACTACCAAAGAAGGGCGACCTGGGACTCTGCAAGAACTGGCGAGGAATCATGCTCCTGTCGACGCCAAGTAAATCCTGAGTCGCATCATCCTGGAAAGAATAAAGGATGCACTGGATACAGAACTTCGACCAGAACAAGCTAGATTCAGGAGAGGCAAATCATGTTCTGACCAAATTGCAACTCCACACATCATCATCGAACAAAGCATGGAATGGCAATCAAATCTCTACCTCAACTTCATAGACTTTGAGAAGGCCTTCGACAGCGTTGACCGCGAAGTAATTTGGAAACTACTCAAGCACTATGGCGTACCCCAAATATTCATCAACCTTATTCAACAACTGTACGACAACGGCACATGTCAAGTGATCCACAACAGAAAACTCAGCGAGGCGTTTGGAGTAAACACTGGAGTCAGACAAGGGTGCTTATTATCACCAATGATATTCCTAATTGTGGTGGACTGGATTATGCGTCAGACAGTGGGAAACGAGAAGACAGGGATATCCTGGACCGACGTGAAGAACCTAGAAGACCTGGATTTCGCGGATGATTTATGTTTGATGTCACACAAAATCGAAGACTTACAAGCGAAAACCGACAAACTGGTCGAAGAAGCAGCAAAGACACGACTCCAGGTGAACATAGACAAGACGGAGGTTATGAAAATAACCAACCAACAACAGCAGCAACATCCAGTGCCAATCACCATCAACGGGAGGGATTTGAAAGAGGTTACTTCATTCACTTATCTAGGGAGCATTGTCTCAACTACAGGAGAAACGGACGAACGAGGATGTTAAATCGAGAATCGGGAAGGCGAGAAACACATTCATCAACCTGAAACCAATCTGGAAATCTTCGTCACTCAGCCTGCATCAACAACAAAATTCGGATTTTCAATACAAACGTCGAGTCAGTCAGTTCTTCTATACGGATCAGAAACTTGGCGGGTCACCAAGAATATTTTCAACAGGTTGCAGACCTGAATCAACAGCTGTCTTCATTCTATACTCAAGATCAGATGGCCGGGAAGAATCACCAACAAGAGACTATGGGAACAAACAAAGCAACAACCAATCGCTCAACAAATATGCAGGAGGAAGTGGAGATGGATTGGACACTCGCTGAGGAGGCCGCTGGGTGACATCGCGCGTCAGACCCTCGAGTGCAACCTGAAAGGGAAGCGGCGAGTGGGACGTTCAAGGGTGACATGGAGGAGATAGTGTGAAGAGCTGAAACAGTATGCACTAACATGGATGCAGGTGAGAAGTACAGCAGAGGACAGAAGCAAGTGGAGACGTGCAGTTGAAGCCCTATGTTCCACTAGGAACTCAAGGGAACAATAATAATAAATAATAATGGATGCTGTTGCGAGGGTTACAAGTCAAACAGTAATAAATTGCTTTTTCTTAAGTGATGTCTCCTAAAAAAGCTGTATACAGAAGTGGCTTTCAATGAGTTACATACATACCTAAAGGTACACGAAATGGAGAGGTAAAATTTTCATACATTATGTTCAGTGGCTGATTCAATGAGCCTACAGACAAATGAAGAGCAACAACTTAGGATAGCAACGGTGAATTGCCTACGAAACAAGGACAATGAAAAAAATCCTCAGGTTTGTTTAGTTTGAGGATTTCATCATTAGCTGACATCAGTAAGAGAACCATTGGAAAATCTGAGAGTACTGAACAGCTGTTTCGTCAGTACGCATCCACTACCAGGGTCCGAACCCAGCACCTTCTGGTTACAAGGCGAGCTCGCAGACCATTAGGCCACTGATCCAATGGCCCACGAATTCTAACTTCTGCCAACTCATGACATAGCGCGACCGCTTCGCAATGTCTTCTTCGATGAGTTACTGCCTCTCCTCCAACTAATCAAACAGAATTCCCTACAAAACCAATATTTGAAAATTATTCCGATGCCCACTAGCGACTGGTCGTATTCAGGCAGTTAATCTGAGGTTCTATTGGGAAGCCGTGACAAGTAGGTTGTAGCAGGTTGAAGGTGAGTCAGTTTAAAGAAAAGAAAAACTACGTTATTAATCAACACCATATTGTAATATGTTTGCTGAAGCTCCAGACATCGCCTATGGATCATAAAAGATATTTTTTCAATTTTTTTTGAGTACCGAATGGAGTGTAGAGTTCCACGCTTAAGCTTTGAAGTTTCATTATCCACCGTGTTTTTTTTCTACAGGGCGAAGTTGCTAGCCTGACGCCCAGCTTTATCTCTTTGCTGGGTTAACTACCGGCTAAGCGAAATTTAGGTCTCATCCAGCCGGTAATGGAACCTGAACCATGTGAATGGTTGACAGGCACTCTACCACTGCACCATAGACACAACGATAAACCATAGTCAATGATCAAAGTACAGCGCTTGTCTGATGACATGTCATGAGAATTTCTTGACAGCACATTCAATTAATCAAATATTCTATGTATAGCCCTTAAAGAAATTAGTTTCTTGAATTGTCATTTTTAGAAATAATATGAACAAGTACATACAAAGTTTCCCCTAATTTAAATCAAGCCCCTCGGGGACCATAATAATCTCCATTCAAAAATGAAGCTGTTACTATTACACACTATACTTTTATTCATTTGAAATACTCCTTTCCTAGTTACCCTTCGTTCATTTTAAAACTTAATGAAAATCATGTGTTACCCATTGTAAATCTGCCTTTTATGACAAATTTCCTTAGTGGTTTTAGCCATCTGTTGTTGAGCTTATTTAGAACTTTCAAGTACAAATGAGGTCTAACTATTATTTAATTAATTTATGCTTTCTGATACTTAGATGAGTAATGAAACTCAACAATGTGAACTTTTCCATTTGGTAAATGTATACATTTTTCTCACTTATAATGAATGGGACAATTTTTCAGAGTGAAATTCCTGTGAAGACAATTAGAACATGAAATATGTTAGTAATATACAAATACTTAAAGTTTGAGTATTTCTTTTAACATTCATAAACTATTAATCAAAAACAAGACTGAGTTATTAATCAAATTTTGACAACTTTTGTTCAATTTTTCTTTTTCTAGACAGTATTGGCCTATTTTCAAGTGAATATTTCCCACTGAATGTATAAACAAGGAGTTAAATTTTTATTTACAAAACGTCTATATGTTTCATTATAATCTTTAGTTTTGCGTAATATATATTTATGTTAGCTAATGTTAGCTCACCGACGCATTGATAAACATAAGAGAATCCCTTTATCCAAACGTTTAGAAAGCAAACAAAACTATGCTAATATTCAGTTCTATTTGAAATTGTAGAATACATTTAATGTACACACTTTGTTATGTGTGAGTGTGACTTGATCCTCGAATGCATATAAATTGGTTCATAATGCTAAAGCTTTCACAATTTTTTACAAGCTTCAACTGAGATAGACAAACCAAAATGTCTTTTAAATCAATCGTTTTTCTTCAACTTTTCATCTTATCATTAGTTTACCTCAACACTGTTCAAGGTGGGTTCACATGAAATATTGTTATTGTCTTCGAATAAAATTTAAAATTCCACTAGGTAGCTAGGAATATTGAAGTTAACTTTTTTCACCGTCTAGTATCTGAGATGTGTTTTGTTTTGACTTCGTGCAAGACAAACGTCTCCAGTGTCATTTCAGTATATCCTTTTTCACTGAAAGTTAATGTGGGAATTACATTGGCTAAAACAACAACTAATCAATATTAGTGGTTATAGTAAGCCAATTATCTATCTTCTTGAAATTTTCGTATATAAAATGAATGGGAAATGATATAGACAACAAATTATCGTAATACTTATACTACTTATAACTTGATTTGCCTACTGCATTTGTTTTCGTTAAATTTATTAAATAAGTGTACATTTTGTCTTATAGGTGGTGGTGAAGAAGAAACGACAAGTTAGTTTTAGTTACTTTCAAATTTTTGGAAGTCTCCTAAAATCTTATCTTGTTTTTAAGTGTGTTGCTTACAGATGACACAATTCAAACTGATAAATATCAAGTCATCGAATGAGAAACATACTCTCTGAGTCACTGCCGACCGTTATCAGCTATGCCTTGAATTCAAACCTCGCTTTTTCGCAACAGCAGAAACCTCTGGTAACTCATATAATCAAGGGCTGCTCCATTACTATCCCATAGATGAATGTATCATACTGAAAGTGCACATAATCAACAGGATAATCAATTATTGAAGCTAAAATCAAATAAACATAAGAATTCTTGATGTATAAGGATAAAACCTGAGAACTGCGGTAGAGTATAATTCCATTATGGATAAAACTTTAATTTGATAAAATCACACAGTATTATACAGTAATATTTACTGATGACGTTTCGAGCGCAATTTACTGTTCATAATCATATCAAAGTACTCACACAACTTTCTTGCTACGTTTATATACATGAGTAAAATTCAAATGTCTAATCAATTTTTACTCATGTATATAAATGTAGCAAGAAAGTTGTGTGAGGACCTTGATACGATTATGAGCAATAAATTGTGCTCGAAACGTCATCAATAAATTTTACTGTATAATACTGTGATTTTATCAAAATAAAATTTTATCCATAATGGAATTTTTGATATATTTAAAGAAGGTAAATTAAACATATAAGTAGACAAGAGGACCTTATCGAAGATTGAAAGAAGTAGTTACTGATTAACCGAATGATAATCATCTAGTCTACCTTCAGAATTATTAGAGGACATTTAACACACTGAAGGAGAAAGCTATTCTGTGCTGGTTGCATTTCAGTGTTTCTCTCCCTGATATTTCCATGAATGTCATCTCTAAATATAAGGATGCGTTTTAGAACCAAAGCATTGTAGAAAAAACTATTTTCCTTCATCACAGTGGTAAGTCAGATATGTATTAGCAAGGATTCAGCTCTACATAAAATAGTAGTGAAGTGAATCAGGTGACTGCGACTTTAACAAAACAGTTATGAAGATCTTTCTCTATCAAAATCGAACGTAATAACGTCAGTGGCTTCATGCATGACATACAACTTTCATATCTCATATTACTAAAAAACCGTGTTTAATCGTATTGTGTTCCTACTTGTGCTTCTTTTAATTCTATACTAAACAAATCTGACAAATAAGTAAATCTTCCCAATTATTTATTTAATTTTTAAGCTACCACAACAACAAAACGTATGTTAGACAAAATTTCAAACTGTAAAGTGTTTATCATCTTTTCTTAAAATTGATGCACAATTGGTCTATTCTGGTTAGCTGTTATGAGAACACTAAGACAAAATATAATTCCTCTGCCTATTGCCCCTTTTACACTAGTGAATCGACAGACTCTTTTGATTTACAAACATGTCGGTATCAAACCCAAGGCTTTTTATTTTATATATATGGTCCTTAGGCTTATAAAAGGCGTCACAGTGTATTTGAGGATGACATATATGTCTTTTCGACATTAGAAGTTAGAGTATGTGTACACTTGTATTAGAGACAACCTGAAAATTATTTTTGAAATTTTTCTTGACTTTCTGAATAACATATTCAATTAGGCCTCTAACGAAGTTCACTGACTTTCATTTTGTTAAAGGTCAAATCGTTTAGACATACATTCATGATGTATTTTAATTCTTTTCCTAAGGAAAACTCTAAAATCACATACAATTTATTCTTTCTACGTAAACATTACAACCAAACACATTTTTGGATGTTGAGAAAAAACAAAGTCTGAAATATAAACCTTTGTAGGTGTTTAACTTAATTCATAATCGTAATGAAGTAATCTGTTTTAAACGTCTATTGAACTTGATAGAGGGAAGGTTTGATGCAGTGGGATTGTTATTCGTCTAGCTGATAAACCTAATAAGCAGTATACATACTGATTATCGAATTTTCATTAACTCTGTTATACAATAATCTAAATTAAATGTTTATTTTGTTTGACTGTATTATTCAGTGCCTATTAAGTGGGCAAATTTAATCTGACAAATATATATCTGGCGAAAGAAGCAACTTAACGACACATCAGAAGAACGAGCTACGGCCAGTATGAACAAACCACCCAAAATCCACGGTTTAAGAGTTAAAACTGTCGTGAAAATAATCGCGATATGCTATTGTGGATTACTCTTTTTAAAAAAGAAAAATAATGGAAAGTTGTTCGTCATAGCGAAATGTCAAAAAGTTGAGAGACTTTTTCGCATTCTTCTGATCACCAGAAGGAGCCAAAGCATACGTATTTTTTAAATGCATTTGTATATCAGTTTGATCACTAGTTAGACTAATCTAAGTACTATTTTAAACGATGACAGTTCATCTTCGAAAATATATCGACAATTTAAACTCTGTCTGATGACTACTTTAGTGCTTGAGATCAGTTAAAATTCCTTTACAACTCTCTCAAGATAAAAGCTGTATATTTAGAGTCTCATTATTTTTAACAAATACTAATTATGCTTTCTTTACTTAACATCATTTATTTTTCGTGACAGCGACCCCAGCTTCATGTAAGTTGCCGTAAACTTAAACCAGTTGATTCAAAATGAGATATTCACTAACACTACCCTCAGTAGTGTCGATAATACCGATACACCCTGTTGTTAAGTTTATTTATCATAAACAAGGTGATATGTATATATATATGCATAATTCTCACATTAATTCTGCATTCTGTCGAGAATTAACATGCAGAACAACAATTTCAAGTTGGTCACTGTATTATAGTGCTCACTTAAATTCTCATTGATCTGCACTTGAGATCATATGAAAACTTATGGAATGCATTGAGTAACAGTAGTAGAACTACTTTACTTAGAAGTCACATAACGTCATGTGAAATGTTCCATTCTTGCCTGGTCTTGTTTTCGTAGGTGTTTTGCATGTACCATATGGATAAAAAATGTAGTTATAACGTGATGATGAAATCAGTTTTTTCTAAAATTTTGCATCAAAATGATTAGACATTTTGTTGTTTTATTTGAAATAATATTGAAGGATGTAAATTAATCGTGATAGATAATCAGATGTTACATTATTTATTTTACTTTTAGCTGCTTCTAAGTGTGAGTTGAATAAAGCAATAAATTTCTAGCAGTGTTCTTCTTAAATCCACTAAAGTTAAATGTTACAAAACATCACTGGTCAATGAAACGAGTAATATAACTTAATGGTTCAATGATTTGAAAGTCATTTTCGAACATCTTGTGATATGTTTTCAACATGCTGATAGGCTCTACATTAAGAAGAACCACATGATCAGTGCCTTTCGATCTTCGAAATCTCAGTAGCTGGTTATAAATTTTATGAACATTACCTAAAATTAATTAACTGTTATTAGTTCTATTAATGTATAACCGAAATTTATTTTCATGTTTATTTTGTGAATTTAGTTTCAGGCAACTTCCCAACATGCTTGATCTTCACGGTATTCAGTCTACCTCTTGCCACTACCTTAGTTTGGAAATTAACGCAATGAAAGGAATAAAGATGTAAACAATAACAATTAAAATTAATCTATGTGGAACATGTTTTTGTGGAATGATTCTTGTGTCTTCTCGTTCATGATAGCATGTTGTAAATTGCATGGATGGTTGTAATTTGTTGTTCCGATTACTACGCAACATAACTGTTTTTTTCAATTAATTAAATTATTCATTCATACAGTATTCAAAGAACTTTGGTTTACATCTTAGTCATTATCGTTAATTTACTAAAGTTTCTAAATCTTTGACTGTTAAACAGCTGGTAGTAAAAGGCTTCATTGATATAGTGACGAGTGTGTAGTAACCAGCTATAACTAGTTTGAATACATTTGGTGACTGATATTTGATATTTCGACAAAACTGTATTGATTCGCCTGCTAAAACCGTGGTCCTTTAGTCAGCTCATTATCATCACCATTATAAGCGAGGCTCCAATTGTTGCGTTTTGTGTGATTACTACTGTGCTAGCCTTAAAATTTCTAGAGTAATTATTTTAACCTCTTGGCTTCACACTAGTCATTAATTGATAAAGAGGTTTAATATCAACTAATAAGTCAGAAATAATGAGTGAGAAATTATAGGAGTACTGAAATTTTCAAATTCTGTTCTGACTCTAATCCACACCATATGCAATTTGTAATTTCTGATGTCTACTTCCTTCGTTGTACGGTAACTGGAATACATTTTAAAACAAACATATCAGGTGTGGATGTGAAATAAGAGAAGTGGTCCGTGTAGTACATTGAATAATAATTGTTATCGTCTAGTTATGAACAATACTTTCGGTAAAGATGGAATGTTCAGCATGTAATTCGCAATAAAATTATATCATGCAAACACATTTACTAAGAAATAATAGCCTTAAGAAATAATGTTACCAGCGCAACTGCGTAAACAATAGCAAGAATAGAATGACTGTTTAGTTCATGTCATCCGAATGATAAGCTAGTTATTTTCGGAAATTCATTTCTTCACGCAACGTGAATACCATATGGGGTTCTGTGAAGGCTTCTTATTTAGCTGTAAGAGCATCGAGTTTTATGAATTGTTTAATGCCCCTAATAAAAAAACTATGAGGAGAAAGTTGAGAATGAATTTGTTCGGCCTTCCACGCGACGCGATGCATGTTGTTTTTAGGAGCCAAAGTAATAATAAGGGGCAATAAGAAAGAAAACTAGTCAAATTTAAGGATTGATTAAAATGAAAACATAAAAGCTGACAGTATCGGATAGTCACAGTTTTCCCTTGCAATACAGAAAATGGGAAGTATTTTGGTAGTTCAAACGGTGTAATACTACTAACTAAAATCACAGTAAACGGTTGATTTGCGGTATATAATGTTGTAATTACATTGCAAAAGAACATGGTCATATAACTGAACTGTACAAATCTTGTTCATATGTAAACAGGAAGTTAATAATGATACAAATCATCATATTTTGATAAACACTACCAATCAATTTTAAATTATAAATCCCTCATTTAATAATAACCTTATCGGGAAACAAAAGAGAAATACATTGCGGTTATCAGTACGAACACTGAGATAGATTTTGAAGGATAACTTAAGACAAAGAAAATAAAGTTATGAGAAATATATGGGAAAGTACAGTATACCAACTTTAGAAAGCAGTTAAATCAATCACTTTTCTTTTTCCACATTCTACCATTATCTTTCAGAAAAAGCAGAATATGCCTAGTCACTGACTCAGGGTACAATGTTTACCATAACAAGTTCATTTACCAATACTATCTCAGGGACAAAGTAATTAACATATGTCCACTTGAAGAAAGCGCAGAGGGCAAACTTGTGAATTTCGTATAGGCTGGAAATAATAAAAATATTTAAGACTGTGATAGCGTTGAATAAGGTGCTATGTAAGAATTCCTATGAAGTATTAGATAGCTGCTTTCCCTTTAGAATTTACATAAGTGGTTTAAAAAAATACGGCATATTGTGAAACAATTACCTTGCTGAGAAGTAGGCTGTGTGGGTGTACCTGCATCCTTTCGCAGTATGAAATCATTAATAGCCGTTAATGTGTTCGGCATTTTATTCTGACAGATACACCACTTTTGTACCTGTATAAAATTCATATGAAATGATAACGACAGTGAAGCATAAATGCACATAGCAGAATGTGCAGCACCTTAAAACCTTTAGATTTTGGAGGAAATCATCGTATATTTATTACTGATGTATAGATGCGGAAAGTCTTCGATATGGAAGTATTAAAAATTTCGAAATTTCACTGAGTCATAAGGTTTTGAATCATTTTATATAAGCAAGCAATACATATGTAAAAGTTAGGGGTTTCAGAAGATTCCCTCAACAAATAACAGTCAATAGTTATATTGAAAGTAGTTTGGAAGATTGGTTAGGGATGTTTAATATCACAAACAGAAGTATATCGTATTGTGTATTAACTTATATAGTACTGATATAAGGATATAATTCGGGCACTGTGCTAGAGTACAAATCCATTATGCATAGGATTTATTTCCAAGAGCTGGTTTGTAAGGATTAGATTTGTTTGAGCACGGACTGATATCAGTTAGAGAACCACTGAAAACCAGGGAGTACTGGACAGCTGTTTCATCCTTGTTTGGTTGGTGCTGCGCTAAACGTTTCGCTTACCGTTCTACGTTAGGAAGTTTAGGCAGTCTGGTATAAAGCAGTCTTTGCTTTCTCAGTTTGTCAATTCCTGTATTCTACCCTCCCCATTAATCTTTCCTGGACTACTTAAGAAAGACTTTGCTTCGCTGCGTAGGGCACTAAAAGCTGTTAGTAGGGCAAGTGGGATTTCGTCAAACCAACTGGTTAACACCGTTGTGGGTAGACATATAATGTCATGTAAGAAACTAGCGAATTCTATATTGTCAGACCCTGAACACCCTCTCTATACGCAGCTCTCTCCTTGCATTTCATCTGGTAGAACTAGAAGCAACTATAGGAAGCTATACGCCAGGACTAACAAGTATAAAAACTCCACAATACCTTATCTGGCACAGCTGTTATGTGATGAGAAATCCGTTAGGTTTGACACGATCAACTTACGCGGCACTCTAACAAATAGTTCCCATTAGCTTTTGTTCTCCTTTCTTTGTTACTATTATATTGTTGCTCATATATTCTAGTACACACTAATTTTATATTTCATATCCTGTGGTGCAGTGTTTAAATATGTGAATGCAATGCTGTTCTTTTTTATTTCTTTTATTTCTCTTCTTTTTCTTTTGATTTTTAAATTCTTATAAAATTTATGAGGTAATTAGATGCAATATTGTAATGCACGCTGAAAATTCCGTACCTGTACCACAAATACTGTTTGGAATAAAGCCATTATTATTATTATTAATTGGTAGAAGTTAGAATTCATGAGCCATTGAATCGGGTCCCAGTGGCTGAATGGTATACGAGCTTGCCTTGTAACCGGAAGGTCCTGGGTTCGAATCCCAGTGGGTACGTACTGCTGATGATTCCCAAACTGGGATGAAACATCTGTGCAGTACTAGCTGGTTTTCAATGGTTCTTCAACTGATATCAATCCGTGGTCAAACTCGTAAACAAAGAATTTATTTTGTTTAAGTCTCAGAGTGTTATACAGTGATATCTCCTGATGACGTTTTGAGCACATTTTATTGATCATAATTATATCAAGGTGACACGATTATGAGCAATAAATTGTGCTCGAAACGTCATCAGTAAATACTATTGTATAATACTGTGAGACTTAACCAAAATAAATTTTGTCCATAATGAACTTATGCTACTTATGTAACAGTTTGTAAATTGAAACGCATAAGTCATTTTACTGATTAGCATCATGTATGACAAGCCTTCCATCTTAAATTTGTCAGATAACCACTAATAACTTTACATGAGAATGTTATTGATAGACATGTTAAAACATTCACACATAAATTACCATGAATTATCCAAGAAACCTACAGAAATTAATGGGCAGCTCGTAGTAGTGCTACTTCGACGGTATTTAAACTATAACCAGTATAAACATCCTGTGAACAAATGTAACAAAACATCACACATTACGTCAACGTAAATACTCCATATATAGGAAGTGAAAATACATTATTCTTGTATTCCTTTTGAAACTCTTTATCACTTGTCCCAACACATTTTAGTCAGAGATTTATGAAAGTATTACACAGATACTATGTCAATATGTACTTAATTTACTTTATTCCTTTGCGTTCAGAGTTGAACATAGGTCTTCGAGGTTGAGCTTTGAGGTTTCCACAGTTGTTTTGTTTGTTTGATTCAGAGTGGGGTAGCTGATCTCACGTAGAATCTGCCCTCTCCATCAGTCTTACTGCAGGCTAAGAGAGGCTTAGGAGTGAGTTGGCCAGGACTCATACTCAGGATATGTGCGTGGTCAGTGAGTATTCTACCAATGAACCGCCGACGCACCCTCTGCCAATATCACAAACTATTTCTGAAACAGTTAAGAGACTTAATTGTTCACCATGTTATTGTTCTCTTCTTCATCATTGATATCTTAAGATAAATACAATTAGTCTTAGTTCTTTGTTTTAACTTTATCGATACCAGTAAGAGTAATAACAAGAGCTATTATGTAGTGAGTCCTAAATTATCGATAGGAAACCGGAAACGCGTCATCAACAAAATCAACACACAGAGACATCACGAAAACAAGACAGCAACGATGAAGGTATGCAAAAACAATAAACGTAGAGATTGAAAAGGAAAAAATTGTTTGGGACAGCATTCTATTTTCACGCGGTGATATGACTATCCTAAACTGCTGACTCGAGAACATGTAAGTCGTGCAAAACCCTTGAGGTCTTCACTGTAGTACTAAAAAATAAACGCCTGTTTACCATGGGGTAAACATAATGAATAATGTCAGATTTTCAAATGAAGTTACATTTAGGAACTCCTACATGACTAAGGTTTCTCACTCCTTTGCACTCTTCAACAGAGCATATATGAGAACTTGCGACTTAGTCA